ATATATATATATATATATATATATATTATAAATTAATTGATTTAAAATATGTTTTTTTTCGCTACACAGTTAATGCTCTGTAAATTTACATTGAGCACTATTTTGTAAAAAATAAAAATATCTATAAGAACACCGGATTATATATCTTACTGTTCTTTCTTTTTATTCATATATATATATATATATATATATATATATATATATATATATATATATAAAAAAGTTGCAAATTAAAAAAATAATAATGTTTTATTTTATGAAAGTATTTATTTACTTATATATATATATTTGATATTTCAAATTGTCCTCAATATTTCATCAGAAATAACTGTTTGTTACAAATAAATTAAAATTACTGTTTGTTAGCAAGTAGCGTCCGTCGTGAGACGTGGACGTCACGGGATATGGAACGTCACTGTTCGGATATTCCTAACTTAAATCTAACTGTCATAAATATTTTAGATGTTGTTTAAAAAATTTTTTTAACTATATCTAAAAAAAATTGCTTAACTATTGAAATATTTATAAAGATTTAAAACACCCAAGTCCCTATTCAACCCTAGTTTATGTGTATTTAATTTTAAAATCCAATATGTTTCTTTTTTTCTGCATGTGTATGTGGAACTAAAATCGGAATCTATCAATAAACATTTGCAGTTTTCTAATGAGTGTCCTGATTGATTAAAGTGTTTAGCTATGGGGGAATAAGGGTTGTTTTGACGTATGGTTTGTTTATGATTATTGAAACGAAATCTAAAATAATCATAAACAAACCATACATCAAAACAACCCTTATTCCCCCATGTTCACCAGTTGTTCTCTATTTATATTTGTCTATCTAATTTGTATACGATACTACAAATACACTTCATAATTTATGAACAAAAACCTTTTCCTCATTCAAAATTCCAAGGACAAGTAAATTCCAGCATTTTAAACAGTTGAATTCCTGTTTTGTACAATTGTTGTTATGCATATATAAATTCCTTTTACTGGTGCAATTTCTCTTGTTGAATGTGTTTCTTCTTCTTGTTTATTATTTCTTGACATGTTTGTTGAAAGTAAAAATAGTAAATATTGAATTGAGGCTGTTCAATACTCTACAGGCTTCCATAAAAGTGACACAGATAGATGTGTTTATTTAATTTGTTTTTCAAGCTCTTCATTGGCTTAAAAACAATTTTATGTTTTTGATTTAATGTTGAGCTGATTTTGAATATTGTGTTTTCAGTCAGAAATTTCCAGTGGGGTTACAAACCCTCAGAGCAAAAACTTCCAAAAGAATTTTTTTTTTATAATCAAAACTCAAGTAAGTCCACTTACTTTCTTTGTTTTGAGATTAAGTATTTACGTTTTTCCTTTTTTACTACAGTTTTTTTTTTGTGTTTACTTTTTATCACACCATTCTAGATTAATATACCCTTCAACCATTAAACACTGTGAAATTGGAACAAAGAAATAAATTATTAGGTCATCCCATAAGTTCTGTCCGAATTTTGAATAAAGAAAACAAGTGACCAAATGTTACATTTAATTACAGATTCAATCAACAATGTATTTTCCCTGATTATCTATGACTTCCTTCCATCTATTAACAAGCTTACTAATTCCATTACTGTAAAATTCTTTTGGCTTTGATTCGAAGAACTCACAAATGTCAGTTTTAACCTCTTCCTGTGTAACAAAAGCTGTTTCTTCCAAATGATTCTGTAAGCTACGAAACAAATTGTAGTCCGAAGGAGCAAGATCGGGAGAATAAGTTGGATGAGGAATTTTCTCCCAACCAAGTTCTTCGATCTTTTGTGACGTGATTCTTGCTGTGTGGGGTCACGCATTGTCCTGATGAAACATCACTTCTTTTCAAATTCACTAGAGCAGGTCTTTTTTTCCTCAAAGCTTTGTTCAAACGCTCTAATTGCTGACAGTATATTTGAGCATTAATTGTTGCATTAGGTGGTAAGAATTCAAAGTGGATTATTCCTTGGCAATCCTACCAGATTGATAGAAGAACCTTTTGCCCATGAAGTTCCCTTCTCGGCTGTGGCTGGGGTCCTTCCCCTTTACCAAGCCACTGTCTACAATGCTTAACATTTTGATAAAACATCCATTTTTCATCACCAGTCACAAGTCTATCCAAAAAAGGTGAAACAATTTGGCAAGAATGGAGAGAAGAGCAGATGTCAACTCGGGATTTGAGGTTGTTTTCAGACAATTCATGAGGCACCCATTTTCCAAATTTAGGAACTTTTCCAAGTTGTTGAAGATGATGATGAACAGTTGTATGGTTTGAACTGAGAACCACTGCCAATTCCTCAACTGATAAAGCAGGATTTTCTGCAAGGGCTGCCTCAAGAAGCTTTTCATCAAACTCAACTGGACGTCCGGTTCAATCTTCATCTTCAAGGGTGAAATCTCCACCACTGAATTTTGCAAACCATCTTCTGCAAGTTCTTTCATTCACACATTCCTCTCTATAAACTGAGTGAATGTTTCTAGCCACTTCGGCTGCTGAGTTTCCTTTCTTGAACTCATAAAGCATTATGTGCGTCAAATGATTCTTGGGTACTTCCATGTTAGCAGGGTTTTAATCAAACAAAATTTAATTTTATTGTTCTCTGAAATAAAATTTGATCAATTTAAATGCATCTAAACATAAAAATAATGTTCAGCTCCATTAGACATTATAAAATACTCTTTAAATTTTGTGCATTTTAAAAAAAAGGTAAAATTCAGACAGAACTTATGGGATGACCTGATAGAATACAGTTTGAACTTGCATCTCATAACAGAGGTGATAATATTACATGAGTGTTGTTCATGGAAGCCTAATGGCTAAACAGGAACTCAAATCATAATCAAATTGCTACCTTCTCTCTTCTAAGTCTTCATATATTACTAATTGTTGACTATCTAGCAATCATAGTGACAATAGTTGCAAGTTATTTGAATTCTGAGATTGTCTTTTTTTATGACTTATCAACCCTTTGTGGTTTATTTAAATCCAAAAGTTATTTCAGATTGTAATTGGTTGCTTACAGTACCAGGTGTTTCTAAGCGGTTCCCCATTTAAGTACTGACTGGGCTCAACACTGCTTAACTTTGGTGATCAAATGGGAACTTGTATTTTCAGAGTGATTTAACTGTAAGCTCCACTAAGACTGACAACTTGAAACGTCATCCTTTTATTTATACTTGGCACATGGATGTAGTAGTATGCATGAGAAAATACATGAATATTTAACAAATAAAATGATCAGCTATATTTTTAGGGATGCAAGGAACAATTAGATTTTGATAGAATGAATTCATGAGGATCACATGATGACCAGTGAGTGATGTCAGCTCATTGGGTGATAAACCCCAGTTGCTAAGTAGACTGTGAGATGGCCAGAGGTATGTGGCAGTAAGGAGAACAAATAGAAAACCAACCAGGAATGTAAAAGATACGACCAGCCTGGTTGTTTTCCTTTCAGAAAATATTATAAGTAAGACCCTCTTGATTTTTTCCCATTCACACTGCTTGTTTTATCCATACATGTTATAATTTCTCTGTCTAGCTCAAATAGTGACAGGTATCTACATTTGCATATAATTCCTTGTATCATATATTATATAAAATCTCTTTGAGCAAAATGTAAACCTGACATTCATTTCTTTCAGCCATCCAGATCCTTCCTTCCATTAAGGTTTTAGTATATCACAGATATACTAATGCCTATGATGGGCAACTGGAAATATTCTCTCTTTCCAAGCACCCCATTAATTTGAATGAGTGTTACCTGCAAATTATATTTCTAATAAATATACATGCTTAAAAGCTTAAAATTTGCAACTTAATAATTTTATATATGTTTTAAATGCTGTAAAAATTACATTTTTCTCTATAAATTTTAAGTCAGTTAAATTAAAAGTGGATATCATCCACTCAGTAGAGATATCTTAATAATTTTCAATAAAATGAGATTTTTATTTTATCAAAAACTGGTTAATTAATAGAATGTGTCTGCTATAATTTGAATTCGTGTAATTTGCTAATTTTACCAAAAATTAATTATTTATTCTACAATATATTTTTACATAGAATAACATAATTCAAGAAGAGAGAAAAATATCCTTATATGTACACAGATAGAGCTCAGAAGAAAAAGAAAAGAAGAACATTTATATGATTAGCAAACTGGAGGAGATGAGACATCCTGTTGGAAATTCTGTCATCCAAGTTTTATTTTATATTAAAAATATGAACATTCAAATTCTGTTGTGGAGTAAATAAGACACACCCAGTAACACAAATGAACTAGACAAGATGCCTTAAATAAAGAACTCAGAGTGAGTCAGTGGAAGTCTGTTGGAGTCAGTCGAGAAGAATATCTATTGACGTCATGGTGAGATGTTTTCTGATTTAAATCATTTTTTTTTAAATTTTTGTGCATAAAAAAACAAAAGACATGTTTTGCAGCAGTCCTAAAGAAAGGAGATTCAGTCACCCTCTCTCAACATCATGTTGACTTAAGGTCGACCACTCTCTTACCTCTTAGTATACACACATGTGTCAATAAAAATTGACCCTTAATTTTCAAGCTGCGTTTTTGTGTTATTTATTATGATCCAACAACATTACCATCTTCTAATACCAGATGAAAAACCAAATACCAACCCACTAGAATTAGAATTTGTATATTTTTAATAAATAATGTATTTGTTCAGCTCCACTTCTGAGTGGGGATGTATTGGGGGAGAATGAAAATTAAATAATAAATTAAATATTAAACATATAATAAAAAATAAATAATTTCATTTTCCCATAAAACAAATGGAAACCAAAAAAAAAAAAGGGTTTCCAGTCACATGAAAAATTTGTGACCCCACTTCTGAAAAGGAGATCGTCTTTCTCTTGATACTTTTGAATCATTGAATTCAGATGTGTTTTTGCAGCAGTCCTAAAGAAGGGAGATTCAGTCACCTTCTCTCAATATCATGTTGACTTGAGGTCAACCAATCTCTTACCTCCAAATTTAGTATACACACATGCATCAATAAAAATTGACCCTTAATTTTCCAACTGCATTTTTATGTTATTTATTGTGGTCCAAAAACATAACTATTTTCTGATACCAGACAAAAAACCAAATACCAACTCACTACAAAGGAATGTCACAATAAGTAATTTATACTTTTCTCTTTCAGATTATAAAAATATTTTTCATCATCTTCCACAATATTCGCACACACGTTCGTCCCATCTAAAGATCTCATTCGACATATCTTCCTGTATGAGTTTCATAAAGGTGTCAATACAAGTGCAGCAGCAAAGTATATTCAGAGCACTTATGGAGATGATGCCGTGAATGAAAGAAGTTGCAGGGGGAGTGGTTTACCCTGTTTCTGAAGTGGGGATTTCAGTTTGAAAGAAAAGCAAAAAGAAGGTCATCCAAAAACTTGATTCAAAAGAGTTGGAAGCTGTTGCCACAGACAATCCCACCATTACCTCTAGGGAACTTGCAGAACAATTTAACACAGACCATACAACTGTGTAATGCCAATTAAAAAGGATCGGAAAGGTTTCAGTGAGTTGGAAATGGGCCTCACATGAACTATCTCCAGGGGATCTGCAACAGCGTGTTGTTTAATGTGACATTGTTTTCACAAGACCTTCAGGCACCATTTTTAGGTAGGCTTGTTACAGAAGATGAGAAGTGGATGCTTTACCATAATATTAAATGCTGCCAATTATAGATCAGTGTGTAGAGGATCGAAAGGCCTCAATTCAATCCCTCCTATTTTTTCTTTCAAGAAATGTGCCAAGAAACAATAAACAACAAGAGAAATAATAGAAAATCAGGATTTGAATAACAAACAATATTTTGATTTATATAGCATAAAAGATACAATGCATTATATGCTGAAATGAGTAAAGATTTGTGAGTGAAATCTGGATGATGTTTGTTATTTTAATTATGTGTGTAAACTCTTATTTTGGTATTTGGAGTTATGCTGTGTATGTTTACTTGAAGAAATATTTGTTGTAATTGTTATGATGCAAGTTTCACAGAGTTAGTGAAAGAATAATTCTGTTTATGAGGTAATTAAACAGTGTTTGTGAAATATAAATTTCCTGTGTGAATTGGGAAAAACTTAATTGTTCTAGAGTTGTCTTTCTTTGACCGATATGTTGTCAAGAAGTAAATAAATTCTGGATGAAATAATGTTCTGTAAGACAGATTGGTATAAAATGACAATTGGAAAAAAAAATCTTAGATTTTGCCGATGCATTTCATCTTCCCACTTTTTCAAGGCAAAAATGAAATCGAAATGTTTTTGTTGTTATAGTTACATTAAAAAATCCAAATCTAAAAAGATGTATAACTTCTGTTATAAAAAAAAAAAATTAAAAGAAAGGAATGCCAGAAAATAAAATAATTTTGACCAATCCCAAAAATTGATGCAAAGAGACTTTTGAAGTTAGCCAAAGTCAATGTTCACACCAGATTCTCAGAGACTGGTCAAAATATATATAAGCTGACACCTCTCAGCTAGAAAGAAGAGATGACGAGAGAATGAATGGAGACATTACCGTGTAGAAACCAGCCATGTATGACACATGAAGAAGCAGTTAATAGGTCAGCTGCTAATTATATTTCTGCCTTGATAAGGCTGAGAAAAATACAGTAGATTAACACTGACCTATTTCTAAGACCACTACTACCCCTATCATGGTCTGACTACAAAACTACAATACCAGACATTTCTCCAGATTGCTATCAATATTTGCTTTATAAACAAACATTTTACTACACCAAATACCAAAGGAATCACTCTAAAGAAAATAAATAAAAATATATTATTTATTTTATACTCTTGAGTCAGTTTGTTTTATTCCAAAATTTCCAGTAAAGAAAAAATCCTACCAACACCACCAAACTACACAGGTGACCTCTCGATGTGAACACACTATACCACAGAATTTTAAAATTTGTTAATGCTTAAAATTTTATTGTATAGTAAAAAATAAATTATTCAGTTCATTAATAAATATCTGATTCAATATGTTTAACACTTTTCTTCTTTCATGAAATTACAAGAAAACAAAAAAAATTGTGTTTTATTTCTAAGGCTCTTACTTTAAACAAAGATTTATTTTGTAAAACCAATTTAAATAAGTGATTAAAAAAATAATTTGATTTAAATCATGATTTAGATTGATTTTGATTTAACTCGAACAATGCTGTCTGCTATTACCACATACTGGTACTGAGAGAACAAAAGTGAGAACTAGTATTTATGACCTTTTCTTTTGCACTGTTGATTGCCATGCCGCCTAGCGGGCGTTAAGTAAAGTTTCCCCACAAATGCCACAACTGATAAACAATATCAAGTGCATTAAATCAGTACAATTTTGGAAGATGATTTTTTTTGCCTTTCAACTGTAATTGTGAAGAAATATTGGTTGATAAGATCTCTGATAGGGAAGATGAGTTATCAAATAATAATTGGTAAAACCAAAATTTGGCTGCCAAATGGATTTGAATGCCAAAGGTGAGACGCTTGAAGACCTCCGATGTGAAAGGTCACATTTTAGCCTATTCCAAAGGACAGGTGTTACTGGCTACAAGCAAACCTGAATAATGCACCAACAAGCAGACACTGGAAGAAGAGATATGATCAACTTCAGAAAGGTGTTTCAATCAATTTCAAACAAATACATGTATTGGGACTTTGCCCTCAATGCCATGACATTAAATGTTAAAGTAACATATTTAGCAATTCTCTCTTCTCATTTAAAATTGTATAATGTATTACTTATATAAAAGATTGCTTTTTTAAACTGTTCATTTGTCTCATACATTATTTCTCTGTTACAACTCAGATGTGGAGTCGCTAATTTTCCCATATAATGAGTTTGTGCCATGTCACAATCAACTGGCTGTAGAGGATATATGTAGCAGTTTTCCAAGTGTAGTTTGGATGTGGCACAAGGCCAAAAGTAAGGGTCACCCAGTGAGAATTGACCTCACTACTTAGTCATAATTGTTCTAGTGAGACAAGCTTGCTAACCATTACACCACCCCGAGATGCCTCTGTAGAGGGTATATGTTGTCCAGTGGTGTGGCATCTATATCACCAAAATATTTCCAATAAAACAATGCAAAATGAAAGCAAATTCATAACAGTTTGAAATGTTATGAAGTATTTATTCCATAAAATAAAAACAAAATAATAAAAGTCTAGATACGAAAAAATTTTTTAAAAATTATGCCTTTAATTTAGAACAGAGTCTGAATAAAAACAAAATAATAAAAGTCTAGATACAAAAAATTTTTTTTAAATTATGCTTTTAATTTAGAACAGAGTCTGAAGCCTAAAGTCTTCTAACAAAGTACTAATTACAGAATGGTTGGAGAGGAGCATGTGTGTTTGCATGTTGTTTTATTAGAAACACATGTGTAACTCCTGGTAGACTATTAAAAGGTCCAACTACAAGAAAATGGGCGAACTTGAATTAAGTCCAACTGAAGATAAAGAAGACAAACAAGACCAACATATACAGTGTAACCCGGATATAAGAGAGTTGTCGGGACCGGATAAGAAGTCTCTTATATCCGGGTTTCTCTTATATCCGGGTTTGGTCTATTTTGTTTAGGTAAGTATGGGAACACTTTGGGACCAGAGAAAATCTCTCTTATATCCGGGTTTCTCTTATATCCGGGTCTCTTATATCCGGGTTACACTGTATATATATATTACTAAGAGAAAAAACAAGAACAACATCTATTCTATACCTGAAGATGTCTGTAGCAACAGACGAAAGCTTGTAGTAAAAATAAGAACTAATACAGCAGAAATTTATAGAAACAAGGATCATTTCATTCATAACGGATTCGGAAGTTTTTGTATATTACTTGAATTGTTTGCGACGATGGATTTCTCGCCAATTAAATCATTAACCTTTGCATTAGTTTTTGTGTGAATAATTCATGAATTTGTAAATTGATTGCACGTTTATCGTAATATATATATATATATATATATAAACAAATATATGTATTAAACAAAACAATTTTACAATGGACATAGACAATAATATTTGTGTGTGTGTGAACGTTTGTGTCCATTCTTTGATGAATGTTCATACGTATGTGTATGTATGTGTGTATAATGTTCATGGTGTCTTCCCACAAATGGAAGTTGCTGAAATGAAGAAATGAAAAAGAGATATTTAGCCCCCCCCTCCCCCTACACTAGGGTTACATGTGGCACAAGGCCGGGTTTAACGTAGGATTTCCGAGCCCGTAGGCTCGGCCAAAAATATTCCCTCTTTGAACCCACATAAACGGGTTCAGGGGCAAGTCAACCACCCCGAACGAGACTCTTCCCTTCGCCGGAGCCTCGTCCGGGTTCCTCTCTGCCCAAAAGCAGAGAATTAGACAGTTACTTAGCCAAAAAGAGAGCAAGGTGAGAAGTCGCCCAGTATTTATAATATAGGGAGAATGACCCCTAGTGACAATTTGGGAATTAAGGAGGAGCTAACTTTGACAAGTATCTGTGTGGTTACTCCCACTTACTTCACAAAAAGACATTGCTAGTGGATACTCCATAAGCCTATAAATAGGAAGTGACATTCTCTGTCATGCTCTCTTTTCTATTTTTCTCTAAGACAATAAAATGTAACTTGCACATGCTGATAATGTAGACTTACTTTTACACAAATACCTTCACTAGTTTAAATGTTTTCTTCTTTCATATTCATTGTTTTGTCACAATGAAAACTCTTCTGTTGTCTATGTATACCTCTGTTTTGTTAATACATTGTCATTTGTTTGTATATGGTTTTGTTGTTACTTTATTAATTTATTACTTGGACTCACATTTGAGTCCACAATTATTGTTGTGGGAAAATTGTACCAGGAGATGCGTGTTTTCTACCTAAACACAACCAGAATTCCTGCAACAAATCTATGACCCTATGCAAATGAGGAGAAAGGATGAGAGAGTTCTTTTTTGAAAGCATTGATTTTTTAAGGTGCCCATGAACTTCTTCTGCTACTACATATTTCTTCCACAGACAACCATTTGTGTCACGCAACATTATTGTCCAGTATACCACTGGTCGGAGTGTAGAAAATAAAACTGTATGAAACTGGCTGCAAGATTTGAATACAACAAAAAAATTACACAAGACATGCTAAAATCAACAACTATTTATTTCAAAATCTGGCTCATTCTATTTTTGCTCCCAGCATTCCCTAATAGGACCTGAAGTCTTACACATCATCATCAGTAATGTTATGGAACATTCAGTATAAAACAATAGTGCACCTGTTGCATATATATACACTACCCACCATTAAAGTAGAAAGATTTATTGAGAAAAGAAAACAATTATATGTAGTAATGTCATTACTTGATTCCATTTTTAACTGAAGAATAAAAGGTTGATTTAGGCTTTGGAGACATGGCATTTCAAAATATGAACTTTTCAAAACCTGTGAACACATCAGAACAATGTTCAAAGAAAACAAAGTAGATGTGAATTAAATGTGGTTGTATTATTTTAATAAATCTCCAGAAAATTATTAAATTTACACACATTTGACTTTAAAAATTTATACATTCACTGAAAATTAATATTGTATTTTTCAGATTTAAAAATTCATTTGCAAAATAGTTAATACCATGTCGTGAAGTATATTTCTGTTTGTACATGCATTCGCATTGTATATATCGGAAATCAATAAGATTACGATCAATAAATTTGGTGAAAAACTTAAGGGTAAAAACTTCTGTAGACTTATCTCCCTTGATGCATTATCGATCCAAAAAAAAGTATTTTAAAGAAAATATATTTAATATTTTTTTTATATATGGCAGTATCAAGAACGGTCTAAACAATTTGATAGAACAATTTTAATTAATGATATCTTTTTTTTTAATATAACGAAAAGTTGTGGTCTGAATATGCAATTGAGGCTGTTAGTATGCCGTATTGACTTTGAGGACAGTTGTACGCCATTTTGATTTTATAGTGTTTTTTTTTTTTTTTTTCGTGGCTGTGGATATTATGGAGTCCTATACGGACAGTGACACTGCAAATAGTCCTGCTTCTGATTCATCGGATTCGTATTTACTTGGATCGAGAAAAATCAAAAAATGTTCCAGGGATGATTATGCTAAAAGATACAAGGTAATTTTATTTTTTATTTTTGTAGATACCGGAGCTGAGCGATGGAAAAATATTTCAGAGAAATCCCAACAACAGTATGAATGAAAAAAAAAAATAGAAAAGGGAGAAAAAATATCAAAAAAACGACAGTTATTTAATTTTATTTTATTCATTAAATAAAAATAAGGATTTTTTGTTGCTTTATTTGCGTCGGTGTACTTTAAAATTCTCTTTCCTTCATCAAAAGTAAATGATATGTTTCTTTCTGGTTGAGTTTTTTCGAGTTCCTTTTTGAAAGTTATTGATGGAAAATGGAAACGTTTCGATAATATAGATTATAGATTTATTATTACTCTAGATGTCGGTTGAATGAGTTTCCTTTTTTATAAACTCATTTTTAAAAAAAGAAAACCGTAGAATTTAAAATTGGTACAGTAAATGAACCTCTTTTTAACTGGCAATCTCATAGTCTTTCTTTTAAACTCCATCTCCATAGTAAACAACAACAACAGACTGATTTAAATTAAATTCTAATGGTATTTTTAATTAAATTGAACTAATATTTCAGTTAATTCTCAAATCACTAGTCAATTTTATACAGCTGTCAATTATTTTTTCACTTTTTAAATGTGAACATTGTTATTTATTTACAATTTAAGTTTTTATTCGTCACAGATATTGAAACCCAAGTTTGGAAAGAAAAAGATTCATTTCCTTTTAGCCAGCTAAATGCGAAACACTTAGTTTTAAATTACACAAAATATTTATTTAATTTCAAAACTTTTCACAAATTTGTAATTTAAGTAAGATACCGAAGTTAAACTATAAATTTGTAAAAAGTAAAAGTCTTTTAAAGATTGAAGCTGTTTGATAATTATTTTTTTATTAACTAAAAAATATGTTGGTAAATTTTTTCATGTCTGGAAATGAATCAACAAGATTTAAAATAAGTAAAAAATAAAAACTTATGGGCAAAAAAAGAAATGCAAAGCTATTTTAAACTTTTTTTTAACCCGACTCAACAAATGAGTTCATCAATTTCATCAATCATTTTGAAAGAAAATATTACCATAAACTTAATATTTAAAACTAAAAGGCATTTTTTTTCCACAGGATTGTAAGTTATTCGTTTTTTTATCAATGTTTATTTATGATTTTTATTTTTAACTAACCAGGAAATCACTTTCTTTGCCTGGGTATATTTTTTCAATTGATCATTTCAAAATAGCTTCCACGAAAATTGCATGTACGTATCTTGCGTATTTTCTTTTATTTACATTACAATATTTTTAAAAAGCAAGAAGAAAACCAATTTCAATTTTTTTTTTTTTTCATATCATTAGAAAAAATCTTAACAATAAAAATTTTCTTGAATTCTTACGGAAGTTAAGTTAAAATTCTTTTTTTTTTCTCCTGTTACACAACATTCGGCATATTGTCAATAAATATTAATATTTAATCTATATTTTTGTTTTGATTTCGTTTGCCCTAATTTCAAATGTAATGATTCTTGAATGTTGAGTCATTGAAGCGTTTTTATATTCTGAGTAGTTTCCCCCCCACGTCACATGATTTTTTTTTTCTTTGGGATTTCCTCTTCAAAAAATGTTACCACCTAAGAAGACCATGCGAAATAACTTATTTCAAATAAGCTTTACCATTATTCAACAGAAAATTTCCAGTTTTAATGGTTTTGTTTAAAAAGCACTTTTAGGTTCTGAAAAGAATTTAACTTTGGAGTTTTTTTTTTTTTTAAATTTACTATCGAATAAACTTGGCCACGTGACCGCCCGGTGACGACAGAATAAAAAAAAATCCGTTAAAATTAATTATTATTAAAAAGACTTGTATTCCAGTTGTCTTCTCTAACCCACTCCCAATTTTTAGCTGTGAACCATCTGTTGAAAACTGTTGACTATCGTTTACTGGGCTCACGTTCCTAGGAAGACAACGACTTGAATAATATAAACAGTTTGTGTTAACTAAAAAATGGAATAAGAAATTGAAAACTAGAATAGTGATGCAATCTCATCACAATTTAACAAATGCGCTTCATTGAACAATCGGATCAACATAATTGAACTTATTGTTTCTATACCATAAATCTTATCTTGTATATATTATTAATTATTGAAGATAAATCTAGCACAGTAGGCGATGTTGTCTTGTTAAAACTTGTTATTCTTAGATATTAGTCAACTGTTTTATTTTTATCCACGTCATTGTCTTCCTCCAGAACAATGGGCCCGGTGAAACAAGTCATTCGTATTTTTAATCGTTCATCTCTAAAATAAAATTTCTTCTTTCAAGGAAATGTATAAAATCTGGTCATTCGCGTCGTCCTATTTTGTTATAATTGTATTTTATTTAATTTATAACTTTGAGTTTGTTACAAGTTAAAATAATAGTATTTTTAAAACAACTGAATTGATTCTGGACATGTTGGTTTCCTTTTTTGGTTAAAAAGTGTTTAAGTGGTATTTTTAATCCTAATTTCCGCAATCCCAGTTTCAATTTTGGTCTCCTACTACAATAGAAATCCTACCTCCTCCTCCTACTTTAGAGCTTTCCTTTAAAAGGAGGAGTGAAAAAAAAAGTCATCTTTACATAACAGCAGCCATTTTACCAATATTCTGTCTCCTTAAGAGTTCGTGATATGGGTTATTCATCTTATTGTTCACCATCATCTAAAGACAGATCCAGCTCTATAAGTATGAAAGGAAACTTTCGCGATCGATCTTCTGAAAAGCGTGAGGTAAATAATTTGTGTGTGTATTATTGGGTAAGATTTTCTAGTAGTTAGTTGTAGCAGCCATTGTAAGGGGGTACCCTTCCTAGTTTTGAAATTAACGGTTATTATCTTTCTCATGGTGCAAATCATTGAATTTTGTCAGATTTACTTCCAAAAACATGTTAATGTTATATAAATATTGCATAAAAAAGAACTGAGAACAAATTCCAAATAATTTTAAACAATCATGGTTCAAAATTTCAGTTGGGTTCTAATTTCGATTACAATTTGCTTTGTGAAAATCGTTCCATAGATCACTTCAATAGGGATTGAAACATGCCATATTGGCCTAAAAAAAAAAAAAAAAAAAATGATACTGTATTTTTTTTAATTATAATTCTTTAATCTGTTCATTAAAACATCACAGTTTGTTTATTTTATTTAAATATTAATTTTTGTTACACTGATTTGTTTGTTGGGTTTTTTTTTTTTAAACGTTATATAAAAAAAATTTAAAAGGTTGATTCATATGGAAATTCCGTTTTGTTTTTAATGCCTTTCAAGCACAACAGTTTCGTATGTTTTGTTTTGTTGTTTTAAGAATTGATATTTCAACCATTTCAAAATTGATGTTTGATTTTGCCAAATTTCATATGCTGCCATGAAATACATGCATAATTAAACTAAAAAGAGGTTAGATATCAATTTATATAAAAAAGCTTTCTTTTATTTTTAAAGCTGTAACATTTCATTTTAAGATTTTTTTAAAAATGTACCAGTACCTTTTAAGAAATGGAAAGATGTATTTTGTTGACTGTTGCTTTTAGAGTTTTAGTGCTGACAATAATAATTAACAATCATTGTTAAATGTTAATGTTAAAGCAGGGGCAGATTTTAAGGTCGAATATAGGCCCTCATCTTGTTCGTTTTTTTTTTTTTTTTTTTTTTTTTTTTTTTCAATCTGATTTGTTAGCAACCAACATCAGCAATAATCATTAAACAGTTCAGATCTAATGGATGGAATTAAAACAGTTTCATAATGTACATTTTATTTTCTCTTGTTTATAGCATAATTAATTAGTTCATTGCAAAGAAAAAAATAAATAAAGCCAAAAATATAAGTGAATTTGTAGCTCCTTTTTTTCGTCAACTTTTCTTTTAAACAAGCATTGATCGTTCTTCTCAAAGATTCCACAAAAAAAAGACTCAGAAAAGAAGTCTCTTTTCAATAGCCTAGCCTGTATTTGTAAAATAATGTTTTTACAGAATCTCAGAAATTTAAAATGGAATAATTTGTGTGCCGGAAGAGAAAAGATGATTTTTAATAATTTTATCTCAGTGAATCTGGAGGATTAAAAATCCAAAATATGAAAAAAAGCATAACCGTTGCTTTGCCCAATATAAAGCAGAAAAAAAAATCTAATCTTCAAATGAGTTAACAATAACATTATCAAATTATTAACCAACAGTGACATCTCACATATTTCTACTACAGTGTAACCCGGATATAAGAGAGTTGTCGGGACCGGAGAAGAAGTCTCTTATATCCTACTATGTACTAATCCTAATTAATTCTACAACATTATTTTATCAGTTGGGGAACTTGTAGTTTGTTTTATTTGTTTTCATCACATTTTTCAGTTACCTTTAATTGGTATTTGATAGCTTTTTTTGAAGTACACTGCTCATTGTGCAATGAGATTTGCTCTGCCTCTTGGATTTTTAGATGTTTTATATATTTAAAAATTTCTTTTCAGAATTATGAAAAGAGTTACCACAAGGAAAAGTATTTAAAGAACCGTTCACAAAAACGTAGTTCAAGTCGTTCTCCGGACTATGAGAGATCAGGCATGCCACCTTTGGCTAAGCTACATGGTGCCCGAGAAAAGCTGCGACACATCTCGATCAAGCGGGAGAGTCCTGAGACAGACTCTTCTGGTGGTTCCAAAAACAGACATCGCCGGTATCAGATCCCTAATGATTATGATCCTAATCTGAAAATCAAGCAAGAACCAATTGATGATGACTATCGTACTTCAAACTTGGTAAGTGTCTTTGAAGCTATTTTTGGTTTATTAAATGTCTCTATTTGAAGAAAGACACTAAAAACAGTTGATACTTTTTTTCTTTTTTTTTTCTTTTTTCTCTTTTTTTTTGTGTTACTTGTAATAAATCATTTTGTATGTGAATTTGAAAGTATGTGTTTATATTTTACACTTTTACTAATTCTTACCATAAAGTTGACAGAAACAAAATGATGTTCCAAGCTCAGATAATTCATTTTGAAGAGAAAAATTTCTTTGTAAACTTATGACCAAAAAACATGCAGTATAAAGAATACAATAAATGAATGATGCAGAATACGTCCTCCTCTGTTCTCTCTTCACACTCTGTGCAGTGTTTATGTTACTATAAATAGCATAATTTTACAGAGTTGCTGCTACTGTTGTAGGAATGAGAAAAATACCTTCTACCTAAAAGACTACCTGATATTATTTTCCTCCTCCAGGTTGATACAGCTTAGCCAATTTGAGAACTAAAAACAGGGCAAGTTGTTTAGATATTTTTTTTTGATAAACATAGTAAATTGACCAATTTCTATTTTTCCTTTTGTTGAAACATTTTCTTGTTATTCACTTAGCATTAGCTTCATGTCCTAAGCTGATTACATTTGTGTAATTTGGTTTTTAAATTGAAATTGTTAAAAGACTAACATTTAAAGTAATGATGAAATACAAATCCTATTGTGAGCCTGAAGTAGCAATGAGAATTTTAATACTAAATAAGGATAAAGAAATAAAGATAAGAAGTAACTTCTGATATGGACACATTTACAGCTGCCTTGGATATTTGAACCCTTACATATTATTAGGAATTGCATTGCAAGATAACACATGTTATTTTTGGTAAATAAAATTAAATTTATTAAACGTTACTAACAAATGACAATCACGCACATTCTTGGCACTGGCTTTTTCTTCAGAGTGCCATGTAACACATTTGTGCATCAAGGTTGATTTTTACTATAAAGCAGTTTTACAAATCAAAATGGTACAAAAATACTTCATGAAATTGAGTGTTAAAAAAAAAAAAAAAACTTTGATAAAAATCCCGGAATTCACTCCTTTAAATTTAAAAACTGTACAGCACAACAAGAACTTCTACTGTATGCAGCAAAACTGAAGCAGAGACTAGTATATTACAATAACTATATTGCCTTGAAATAAAACTGAAGTACACAGATGAGAATTGCAAACAATACAGAACATCATGAGGTGCACATGAGCATTGTGGCAATGAATGCCATTAAGAAGATTATTTATTAGAATATAGATTGATATTTTCAGTCAGTAGATGTATTTAATAGTTGATTTTAGGCAGTATGTACCATTTGACCATATTGCAAGGACATTATATTTCTGTGCTTAAAGGTTGCTGATCACATGGCTCATTAGATTGAAAAATTATATTCTTCAGCTAGACTACATACACGTACTGAATCAATTTTAAAATTGATTCATAAAACCAGTAAGATGCATAGCAGCAATGTTATTCTGGTAAAGATGATTCTGTACAAATCTAATCAAAATTCTGAAAAAGGAATTTAGACTGTAATTAATTTTTGTCTTTAAGCAATAAAGATGAATGTTTTAAAACTTCAAATTTAGCTTATTTCTTGCATTCAGATTTCACTATATTTTGTGATTTATGAACTGTATTTTCCATATTAATTTTTTCTTCCCGGTTGTAATTTAACCAGCCAAAATTTATCACTGAATAAGGGAAAATAAATTGTACCTTCACTGATTCTAAATAACTTATTTTTCATCTTAATTTTGCCAAACTGATTTTTAAGTCACTGTTTTACTGAGTTCATTTTTCCTGTTTTAGTTTTCTGGCTGAGAGAAAAACTTGTGGAATCAGGCATTTCCTTGTGTAAACTGAGTCTACTTCCAGAAGACTAAAACTACTGAGCTAAAATTCTGAACTGAAAATAGAGAACTTTGTTCAGACTTTGGGTAAGATTTGTACAAAACCATTTCTATCAGAATTGGATTTGTATTCAGGTAAATCTATGGTTCTTTGGTTGCTGCTGAACATGCATTTCTTGGGTAAATTTAATGTGTAAATGTTTATTGCTATATTATGTTGGTTTGTTTATGAAAAAGTTAAATACAACATGAAAATGATGTTAAGATAACTTGTTACCTTTCAGTACTTTTAGCTTGAGAATCCTTAATTGGCTCTGAAGAATTAACTACCAAGAAGTTCTACAACATGATCAGTTAATTAGGAAATATAGGTCTGACTGCTCAGATCCATATAAAATCTGTTCTTAACAGAATCTACTGTTTGTTCTATCAGTTGTTGATGACCCATATGCATGAATATTGCAAAGAAACTTTTTATAAAGACTCCAGACTTTATAAAAAGTTTCTTTGCAATATTTTTTTTGCTGCATATTGCAGAGAAAAAAATAATTTTTTTTTTTTTTTTTTTTTTTTTTCAGCTTTGACAACATGTGAATAATTTAGCTTTTTTGAATAGATTTCTTGTCTTTGAAACGGGTTCGTACAGGTCCTGGAAACCTAGAAAAATCCTGGAAAATCGACAGGGCCTTTTCCAGGTTTGAAAAGTCCTGGAATTTTCTAAATTGGTCTGCCCACACATCCTTTTCCTCAATTCATGAAAGTCAAAATGGCAAATCCCAGAAATCTGACTTTTCTTTTGCAAATTTGTCCTTTAAGAAAAAAGGTTTTTTTCAGTTGTCAGTAATATTTGGCAGTTATTGTGAATTGTGATTTGTTTCCTTGATTAGAACAAGTATATTGGCCTTGTAGTTAGTTCTGTATTTTCTTGTCTAGGTGACAAGAAAGAATATGAAGGCAAGTCTTGTAGCTGCTACCCTCACTCAAGAAAAGAGGAAAAGCAAAAGGCATCAGACAAATATTTATTTCTATCAAAGTTTGAATTTGTAGTTCAAAAGAAAATAATTTATTTTAAAGTAATAAAATACATTTTAGTAGAATCTTGAAAAAAATTATCAGTGTTTTTTAAAATTTAAATAATTGAAAAAAATGTTATTCACATGTCAATTTCAAAAGTAAAAAGTCCTTTTGGTCTCAAGTCAGCAGTTCATACTGAAAAAAGATACTTTGTGCATTCCATGTCAACGTGTAAACTGTTTGTCTAAATTGTTGCCAAAAATAACAAGTTTGAGAGTTAAATTTGACAAAGAAAATGTAGACAGGAAGGATGATAGAATAGAAAATGTCTTTTGAAAAAATAAGAATGTTATTTTTAAAGTTTGCAGTTGAATAAGAACAACTTGTATCTAAAGCTTTTGTTGTATGAAAAAAATGATGTAATATATTAAAACTTGGCTTTTATTGCTTGGCTTTAAAATTTCAATCTGGCAATGCTGTCCCTTTACTTTTGTATTTCTACCATAAATGACTATAAAATGTAGAGACATGAATGACTTCTAGACATTTGGCCAGATGTCATCAAATTTGTGAACTTAATTAAAAAAACAGAAAAATGTCCTCAGACAGTCCTTCTCTGTGGTGCTGTCAAACGTGAATGAGGTTTTATTTCTAATGAAACTGCAGAATTTTGTGTCTGTTTCAGAAGACATTGAACCATTTCTGATAAAATATCAGAGCGATAAACCATTGTTGTTGCCATTCCTTGCAGATGATCTTTTTAGCATGATCATGAAACTGTTAAAATTTGTAAAGGAGGAACACACTAAAAAGATAATTACATTTTCCAAACTGAATGAATTTAAGAATTTTGTCAAATCCAAACATGCAGACTTAGAACTTCACACTTATCACAAAGTCCAATGCCATATGTGAAGATCTGCAAAGTAAAAAATCTATAGAGATATCAAAATTGGAAGAGGAGCTGAATGCTAAACTAGATGAACTGAAAAAATGTTAACATCATTGTCTTCTGTGCCATTTGCAACAAAAGCCATAAGTAGTAGGGGTAGCTAAAATATGTAGTCTTTTTGTGAAAATTTCTATTTGTAGTTCTGTTCATTAAAACCATTAGATTTTAACTTCAGAGGAAGTGTGCAGCAGTCAAGAATTTTTGTGACATTCAAAAACCATGAGTAGTCTAGATAGCTGTAATGTGTATCAGTAAGAATTAGTGTGTAGTTCAGAATTTTCCACTATAGTAGAACTCGAAAATGTGTAGCATAACCAGGTCTGCATTCAGTTGTGTTTTAGATTTTCAACTGATCCATGAGATGAGATATGAATTATTGGAACTAGCTATCTTTATTTTTTTTTTTTTTTTTTTTTTTTTTTTTTTTTAATTAAAAAATAAATCGGTTTGTGTTTCTGAAATTGATGATCATTCACTTTGTGTGTGTGCATGTGCTAGTTTCACTCCTTGAAACTTGTTAACACAGTCCTGGAAAAATACTTCAAAAGTCCTGGAAATTTTTTGACACAGATTTGTGGGAACCCTGTTGAAATATACATGAAGCTCTTGAAAATTATATTTTCACTTGTCTGCAGTAAATTTCAAACTCTGGATGTAAAATCACCATGAAATTTCTACAGTATAGTATCAATTGAATACTGATATATGAATTAACAGTTAATGATACTCTTCAAAAGGTTAATTAATTTTATATAATCTATTATTAATTTTTACTGTATGCTATCTCTAATTTTATTTGAAGGAGTATCCATGCCTCTTGCCACTTCATAAAATTATTAAATTCCTAACTATTGGAAATAAAGATTTAGTTGTAGACTGCAATAAAACATCATAAATGAATAATAAAAACTCTGTAATTTTGATTATTTTTTTTTTTTTTTTTAAACATAAAATTGAAGCTGCTGAGTAGCATTTTTTTTTTTTTTTTTTTTTTTTTTTTGCATCAATATAGGAATATTAACATCTTGTGAGATATGTACAACTCTATCTTATAAATAAATAAACAACAAATTTTGTCAGTGTGGTTGAAACCCCTCTAACTTTGGCCACACTTGCTCTGCATAGGGATATTATACCTTTTTGGAACCAGGATGATCCCGGGATTGGAAATCTACCCTTCAATTGGTGCTTGAACATCCAGCACTGGGATTTGTGTCCAGATGAGGCAGGATCAGTTAATTCAAATTTTAAAATAACTGGAAAAAAAAAAAAAATGTGTGATTTCAAGTTTTTAATTTATATTCAGTTTAAAGTAACATAAAAACTTTGAATTTAAAAAAAAGTTTTAAATTCAGTTCCCCAAAACTTTGAATTGAGTAAATCAATTTTATTTCTTCAAAATGCCAAGGAATCAGAGTTATAGTGAGAGGTTTAGTGATGTGAAGTTTTGAAGTTCTGTAGAGTTTGTGATTTGAAGAACTCAATTTTCAGCTTGAATTGGAATTTTGGTCAGAATTGGACTTACAGTCCAAAGAGTTAAAGGGAGGTTTTGAAGTTCCATGGAGTGAATTAAAGAATTCAAAGTTACTTTTTCAAAATTATCATTGCTGTTTTCAAAGCAGGACAAAAGGTCTCTTTAATTTTGAGTCAGGAGCTTAGTTAGCCATCCACAGGCGCTAAAAGACTGCAAAGCGTGTGGCTTTTAAGCTAGTATTTTATAAAGCTATTTGTATAGTCCTTTAGTGTTAAAACTTGATTGTATTTTATACCTCCATTTAATCTGCATTTAATAGACTAAATATTTACATTTCCTATTGACAATTAGGAAAGTTTACAGTCTAACACAAAGTACAACATTTTGTAGTTTGTTAGATTGAAAAGAGTGATGAATTTAATGGTGCTTACGGTGTTTGGAGTAATCACTAGTGATGTCGACGTTATGCCTCCATTCGTCTTTTCAGAGCCTCAGACTCAACATAGGGGCCTACATCAAGTCCCTCGAGGAGGTGGTGGCTGCTGGAAGACCCTGTCTGGCAACAGGAATCTGCAATGTGCCACACAAGCAGGAGAACCCAGTCATGGCTGTCAGGCAATTTCTGTGACCACATCACCCCTTAACATCTTGCCACCTAACTCCCCAGACTGCAACCCATTTGATTATTATGTGTGGGGTGCAGTTGAGCAAGAGACCAACAAAACTCCTAACACCAAAGATGAATTGAAGGCAATAATTATGGAAGCATTCACCAATTCAAACAAAGAGAACAGGATACTGGAGATTCTGAAGTCGTCTGGAGGCCATGGTTGAAACCAGTGGCAAGTTTTATTGAATAAATTTACTCTCTAGTATTTCAAGATATGTAATTTTGGTAGATACACCTATTAAAATAAGATGTTATTTTCATTTTTGCATAATTTAGATGACAAATTATCCATTGCACCCTGTATGTAATAGATTTGGTTGTGAAAAATCCACCACTGCATAAACAAATCACATTAAAAAAATTTTCTTGAGTGATTATGAAATCAATTCTTAAAAAGTTTGAGTTGTGCTGAAAAATTTGAGTGACATAAAACAAAACTTTATTTTTCTTGGTCTGGCTGAGAACTTTTCAGAATCCCCTTGTAATTGTACAAGAAGAATTTCAAATTTTAAAGTTTGCATTTTAATATTTCAAGTTTTTAATTTTAAAGCATTTAGAAAAACATTTCATAAATTAACATTTAATGAAAATCTTGAATAAAACATTTTTCATCAGCTTAACAAATGAAAATTTCAGGAACTTTTTGTGTACATGTCCATTATAGGTTGTTGAAAAGTGCCTGGCATTTATGCAATACTTCATTATGCTTATGTTTTAAGATACTTTTGAGTATGTGGAAAACATTTTTATGAAAATTGCTAGAGTTTCATTTCATCTTGGGGAAACAAGTTCAATAAAATGGATATCTTCATTGCAGCATTTTTTTTTTTTTTTTTTTTTTGTAATTTATTATAAAAACCTTCATTGCTTTAAAATTTGCAACAAATACTTCCACTTCCTTTATTAATTCTACTATTGTTATGGATAGAAAGATGTAAAATTTGCCAATATTGTTTTTTTTTTTTTTTTTTTTTTTTTCCCTCATGTTTTGGAAATCATTCAGTTTAAAAAAAAAAAAAAATTTTGCTTTTTGAAATTCAAATATTAAAAATGAATATTTTTGTCTCTTATTCTACCTTGTAATTGATAACAAAATTGTCAATGGGATAGTTTTTTTTTTATTATTATTATTTATAACCAGTTGTTTGAATGGACATAACATTTTTTTTATCTTTGTAAAATTGGAGGAAAAAAATCATTTCTTACAGATGTACTCCAATGTTGCCTTGGTGCATGACACATTACTTTCAAATGGAAAAATGGTCATTTATATTAAAAATTTAAAAGTAATTTTAAGTTTTTAATACAGTAAGAAGTATTTTTAAATATCAAGTTAGGTTTGATACCATTTTCTATATATTTGTTTTGGTTTAAGCTTTATTCAAAGAAATTTGTATGTACTGTTTCATGAATAATAGTACATTTTTTTTTTTTTTTTTTTTTTTTTGATATTTTATGGAAGGTTCTGATATGTATTTTCTTTTTAAATTTTACAAACTAAAATGGTGTATATGTTCAATGAAATTTGTGTTAGCAAACTGACTTGGCTAAGTGAGTTGCCTAATGTTTTTAGACCAGCCATTCTATGTGTATGCCACTCAAATTTGTCTTTAAAAGGATGCTGTTTTTACTCAAATAATCATCAATGAATTTTGAGAGAAGGCTCACTTGCAAAATGGAGAGGCATTTTCTGAATTGACACGCACTCTAGAAGCTTTGAATGACTAATATAAAATCTCTTTGATAGTCACCTTTGGGCTGTTGAAACTCTTGGTAAAGCAACCTTCAAAACCACAAGGGGTGGAGATACCATCTCATTTACTTATTTGGTGTTGAATGTTGACTAGTTTAAGTGTTTTTTTTTGTTTTTTTTCATCATCCTCAATTTCTTGTCTTACATGGAAACCCCTTTTCCAAGGGTTTAAATTGAGTTAAAAAAAAAGTGTTTGTAAGTAAATTTTATGATTACAAAGTGGAATTTGCTATTTCAATGTTGAGGTTCCTATCACCTCAACTCCATCTTACTTTTGAAATCTATTCTCATTCTCTTGGAACACAAGGCAATGTAAAGTGATTTTGTGGCTGTATTTTGTGTTTTTATAGTAAATATGTTGTTAATGAATGTTATATCTCTAGAATTTTCAGTTTTCAGAATTGTATCTTTATTTTAAAAAAAAATATTTTTTATACTATGCTTTTGATTCTCAGGATGCTGTTGGCAGTCATGAGTCAATGAAACATCGAGTGAGCCGTTGGGAGAAGGACGATGCAAGTGTATCTGTTAAGCAGGAGCCAAGAAGTCCCAGTCACAGCAGGAGCAGGTCTCCAGTTCATCGCCATCGTCATCACAAATCATCTCACAGATCATCACACAGAGAACAGCACAGGGATCATCATGACAGCAACAGACATCGACAGAAAGATGAACGACAGCGAGAAGATAGAAAGAGGGAAGCTGCACATAGGCGCCGAGGTGGAGAGAATCCTTTTGTAACCAGTGCATCAGATTTTGGCAACAGAGGACACAATTCTAACTCGGATGCTGCTAATGCAGCACAGGTGAAAGAAAAACCCAGTATGGAATTATCTGGTAAACTGACTGAACATTCAAATACTTACAATGGTATTGTAGTTAAATATAATGAGCCTGCAGAAGCTCGGAAACCGAAACGCCGTTGGCGGCTCTATCCTTTCAAAGGTCTAGAGGACCTGCCTGTTCTTCCTATTCATAGGCAGAGTGCTTATTTAATAGGCAGGGAACGGTTAGTGGCTGATATTCCTGTTGGACACCCATCAATTTCAAAACAGCATGCAGTTTTGCAATTTCGAAAGGTTCCATTTAATCGGGCTGATGGCACAACTGGTTACAGAGTTCGACCCTACATTATAGACTTAAATTCTTCCAATGGAACCTACATTAATTGTAAACGAATTCAGTCACAATGCTATGTAGAATTGTTTGAGAAAGATCTCATAAAATTTGGTTACAGTACTCGTGAATATGTAATTTTACATGAAGACTCTAATACATGTGAAGTGCAAGTTGGTGATGAAGTGAGTGAGTGAATGAAATTCAAACAGTTATTTTTATTTATATATTTTTTTTCTTTTTTTCAAATTCTCTCATTATTTCTGTTTCAGAAATGTTGAGAGATCAGAAATAGGGATTTGATATTCTGGCAGGACAGACCCTATTTTCAGGGTTCTGGGTCTGGTTTTAAAAAAAATAAATTGTGAAAATATGCAATATATTTTTTTATTTATTTTATTTTATTTTTTTTTTTATTTTTTTTTCAAATGGAATTTTTTTTTTATCTCAATTATATGAAATAATTGTTGAAGTTATGATTTTTACTTCTAACTTGTATGTTTAATTAATGCATTTCAAAAAAAAATAAATAAATAAAATAAAATAGCTTCCTCTCTCTGCTAAAAAGAGAAGCCAAGTTTTCTTTTATTTATATATTTATATATATATATATATATATATACACACACCATGTATGATCACTTGCATTCAGATCTCAGAGGGTGAAATAGCTAGTATACCATAAATTTTGGGCTTAGCATTTTAAAAACTTCAAATGGTTTAAATGTAATTAGAAATCCTCAGATTCACAATATCTAAGAGTTAAAATGAATTTTAAAAAATGAAAAATCTTGAAGCTTTATCCATAAAAAAAAGTGAAGAATATAACACGAGCAGCTTTTATAAATAATTTTTAAGTACTCGGTAGTTTTAAATATTTAGGAAAATATTCTCCATAATCTAATTTTTTTTTTCATTTTAGATACTTTGGCATTAAATTTACTGTAGTTCTTGCTCTTATTTTCTTGTCATGTATGAGCACTGGTATCTACTAAAATCCACACGTTTATAAAAAAACAATTCAAAATTCTTTTTAAAATACTTGAAGTCCATAAACTGTAATAAGATGCATGATTAATAAATATAGTTTTACTTAATAACAATATTCTCTAACCATTGCACCATTAAAACTGAATTTTAATATGTAAAACTTTATAAATTATTCAAGTTAAAATTTAAGAAGAAAAAAAAAGAATGAAAACAAATCTTGTAAATATTCATAATAGTGTAATTTATATATCTTATTCCTAAAAGCAATTAAAAGCTTTTTTAATTAAAGAATGCCTTAGTTTTATTGCATTTTTCATTTTACGATTGTGGGCAAATTTTCAATAAGATGGAGTTTCCAATTTGCCACCCCCCCTTAAGTTCTCCAAGGAGTTCTGATTTTAAATAATATAGTTATTAAAGGTATCTTGTTAAATTTCTCAAGTTTTCATAAAATTTTACCAAAAAAAAAAAAAGCGATTGGTCATTTTGTCAAATGGGTTTTACTGAGAGCTTTTCATCCCTCCCTATCATATATATATAATATAATATAATATATATATATATATATATATATATATATATATATATATATATATATATATATATATATATATAATTTTGATTTGGGTAATATTCTGATACAAACTTTTGAGATGTTAGGTCATTTTGTGATTATAATACTCATTGAGTGCATTTTCAGGATGGTCATTTCAGAGAATTGCTGTATATGTTGTCAAATACACTCCCAAATATCTCTCTCACACACACACGCATGCATGTATGCATCAATAAGATATATCAAATCTTTTACATAGCTGGGAAACAGGATGGATTCTACTGAAAAGGATGTGAAAATTTGCATAGCTTAAGCCTATGCCACCTTCAATAAAATGCATGTAATCTGATCAGACAACCTCAAGTAAAGATTCTTTCAAGCCACTGTGGAGGCAGTGTTAATGTATGGTGCCACTGCCTGGACATCAACTAAGACTTTAGAGTCTTGGCTTGACGGAACCTACACTCAAATGCTGAGAGCTATACTTGACATCTCTTGGAGACCACATCTGACTGAATCAGAGCTCTATGGACCCATCTCTGATATTTTTGCAATTTTATATAAATGCAGAATGTGCTTTGCAGGACACTGCTGGTGAACAAAGCAGGAACTCACAAGTGATCTACTGTTCTGGACACTTTGACCATCTATCTTGATCCATGGCTATGTAGGTGGCTGCTGGGTGACCAGCCTATGTTATGACAATACCTTCTTCCAACCATGATAGTTCATTTGATAGACTCAAGAATGTCGGCAATAGAAAATCCGAGAGAGCAATTCAAACTTGTGCACCCACTGATAATGTTTTTATTATTAAGAAATAAAGACAAATTCTTATATATATATAAGATACACAGTGGAGAAATAAATATTTGTAGACTATTTAATTTTTATAATCATTATGAAAAGGCAAACTTAAAATCCATACAATATTTCTTTACCCTGCAATATGCAAAAAAAAAAAAACACAATTAGAAAATTGTTATAAATGAAATTGTGTTATAAAATTTTTGAGGCAAAAAAGTACTCGTACAAAATGTCTTTAATATCAAAAGGCTTAAATTAGCTTTATTTACATAATTCGTTGTAAGATTTAGCTAGATTCTTCCAATTATCTTATCAAAACAATCCGCAATTTTTTTTTTTTTTATATATAAAGTTATCTCTGCACATAAATCATACACAATAATTATCATCATGGGGAAAGTCAAGGAACTACCAAATTCATAAAAATTGATCATCAAACATTGGAAGGAAGTCAAAAGCTATAGGAAAATAGCACATATCCTGAATATACTATTTACTACTATTAGTTTTACTATTATACTACTATAAGTATAAAAAGGTGAAAACTGCTGAGAACAAATTAAGATCTTGTTCATTCCAGACCACAGAAGAATTTAGCACAATCTTCAAGAAAATCCAATGACTACTCAGAGAGAAATACAGGAAGAATTAAAAGCATCAGGTATTGTTATCAAGCGAACAATGATGAACTTTGCAGAAGTCAACTAAGATCATGTTCTCCAAGAAAAGCTCCACTACTATTGAAGAAACAAATGCCCAGTTAAAATTTGTTTGTGAGCATAAGAATAAACCTGACTTATTTGGGGAAAGTGTTTTATGGACAGATGTAGCAAAAATTGGGTATAATTCAAGGACTCCAGTTTGTGACATCTTTTCTACAAACTGATACTGCCCATACTAAATTTCACCATTGGGATTGTGTTCCCAATGGTGAAATTTAGTGGTGGCAGTATCATAGTTTGAGGATATTTTTTTTACCAATGGTACGGGTAATTTAGAGATAATAGTTGATAGAATGAATTCAAAATAAATATATACACATGAATGGCTATCAGTCTCCATACTTGAATCCAATAGAGAATTTGTGGCGTTTATTAAAAACTTGCAAATCAGTGATTAAAGCTTCAGCAAGAGATTGCTGTTGAATTGAGAAAGGGATATGCTACAAAGTATTAAACAGGTATTATAATGTACAAATACTTTTTTTCTGCATATTGCAGCATTATGCCATGGTATACAAATATTGTATAGATTAGAAAATCTAACTGTTAATTAAAAAAATTCTTAGTATACAAATATTTCTTTACACTCTGCAAGATATGTATGTATATATATATATATATAAACATACTCCTTGAAAGTACCAACATAATACACTCATCTAAATGCTTAAAAATAACTGGAGCATTAACAAAAAATCAAAAGAAACCAACTTTCAATAATATCAATTATGAACACTGCTACGAAATCATGTACTGCCTGTGTTTGGAAATTAAAACATTCCTAATACTATTTAAAAAAAAACAAAAAACTACATATTAAAAGAAAATATCCTTGGTAATAGCTAATAGGGCAGGTCGGTTTTTGAATAAGTAAAAACAGAAAATATTCTTTTCCAAATTGTTATCATTTTTTGAGGAAACAAGTTTAAAGATTAAGTTCAGGTTCCAAATTGTAGCATTGAAAGCCTTATAGCACAGACTTATAAAATTTATAAATTTTCTGAAGCTTTACAAATTGCATATGAAAAGGATGCATGACACATTAACATTATTACTCAATCATTGTGCAATCAAATAAGACCACTTTATTCAAATGGAAATTATGCTAAATTTAGCTATATTATGATGTAACATGTTATACACTGCAGTTGTTTTTAGTAAGATTTTCAATAAACAATGCAAATTTAAAACATTTTGATTTATAAATTGTGCCCAGCAGTAAATCATCTGAATGCAAGAAAAATATAATCAAAAGTTTAATGTCGGTTGTCTTCAGTGAAAATTGTATAACAAGATTGCTGTTCAAATATACACGTTTGATTCTTTGGGATATTAAATATCAAAATAGAGCACTAGAAAAATTTGCTTTTGTGCCACCAAAATTTCGTACTTCGATGATTAATAGAAATTTAATTGTCCAACTAAAAGAACAAGCCTCAGCTGATTGCTTCATTTTAAAAAATTCTCGTTATCATTTACCTATTTATTTGTTGCCTTTTTTTCATTGAAAAAAAACACAAGCCATTGAGTGGATAATATGACTATTAAAAGAATAAATGGCTCTGTTCATCACTTAACATAAGATTATAATTTTAAAGTTGAAGTTATAAAAGTTATATGAGTTGGGGTTTGAAGAAATATTTTTTTTTATTTTACATTAAGAATTGTCAATGCAAAAATGAAATGTTATGGTTTGAATTTATTTCAAGATAATTCAGAAATTTAAAAAAAAAACAAAAAACGATTATATTTAGTAGTAAAACTGTACAGTTGGAGTGCACCTGATGTGGCTCAAACTCCTTGCACTAATGAACTGAACTACAAGATGAGTTTGTAGACTTGCGATACCAATATACTGTTTTTTCAATAACCCTTAGCTTCAGAACCACAAACAAAATTTTTAATGAAACCTAAACATATGAAAGTGAATTTATACATTGTCTTTATTCTTGAGAATTGGCAACAAAAATAATAAACACTAAGATTTGTTTACACTGCTTAATATATTGTTTAGTGGAAGGGGTGGCAAAACATTGCCAAATTGGCAATCATTTTGAATTTTAAAAGGTCAGTAAGGATTTCTTAACATTCGAATCATATATTTTAATTTAATAAATGTTTA